GTTAAACCACACTCAATGCTTCCCCAGAGTCACAAAAAGTTGGAGGTGAAAGAAGGCCCCTGAGCGCAGGGGGAGGCACGCTGCAGTGGAGAGGAAGCACTGTTCTTTTCTAACACGGTGATAGTCACATCAATACTCATAAATACTTCTCCAGTGGCTGAAAGAAATATGCTGCCTCATTTACACTGCTGCCAGCACATGTACCTCTGCGCAGACTGCTTCATTCCTGCAGCTGGGTCACAATCACAGGTAAAATCGTAAGGTAACTGGATTCTGTAAGCTCTCATCTCCCTGCTCAGGAATACGGAGGCCCACTTTGATTGGCATACTCTGAGCGGTGAATTATCCTATCAGAGAGATGTGTGCAGCTCTTGCAGACAGCCGGTCTGTGTGCCTGCCTCTCAGCTGCGTAATTTCTACCCTTACTGGAATCCAGGCTGAAAACTGGCTGCAACCTGACAGATACTGAAAGCCTCTTGGTAGCAGCTTTAGTGCAGTGGAGAAAATATGCTGCAGCCACTGAAAGGCTCTATGTTGTAGAAGATGTGAGAGCTCACTGAGGAGGTGTTACTTAATTTGAAACGCTCGCACTGGTCTGTGCAGCACTACCAGTCCCCTGGCAGGCAAAAGGGCAGCCAAACCCTGGGGTGCACCAGGCCCAGCACTGCCAGCAGGTGAGGAAGGGCTTGTCCCTGTTACAGAGCATCCACTGGAGGTCTGTCAAGATGGGGAAGGCTCTGGAGGGCAGGGTGTGTGCTCCCTGTGTTTGCTCAGCCCACAGCGGAGGAGCCGAGGGGAGGCCTGATAGCGGCTGCAGCTCCTCGCAGGGAGCGGAGGGGCAGCGCTGAGCTCTGCTGTGTGACAGCGACAGGGCACACAGTACCAGAAGGGCTGAGAGGAGCAGAGCAGCTGGCTGTGGCAGTGCTAGAAATGTCCTGCCTCGAGCCAGCAGGGGCTGGGGTGGCAGTTTCATAACACTGAGTGATCAACTGTGCCTTACAGAGCCCTGCGAACTGCTGAGCCTTCGGCAAACCACAAGGATTATTCAGATAAATTATCCCCCCCCTGTGAAGAAGATGATCACAGCAGTTTCAGCTAAGAAATGACATGGCAGCTTGCTTTGACAATAAATTGAGGCAAGCTAAGAAAGAAAATCTGCTTATGTCGAGCCTTAAGAAGTGGGAGGCGAGTTGGGTAAATGATAGTTACACAGTGCAGCAGTTTGGCTGTGCAAATCTCTTCCTGTGTTGGCAATTTATTTATATAAGGGAAAACACTATTTTCTTCAGGGTGAAGGGAAGCCCACTGGTGCTTCTGAGAGATGCTGTTTCTAAAATGGCACAGCCATAAACCTGCAAACTGTTCAACAATTTAAAAACCTCTGCTAGTTTTTTTAGTTTTGCAGGAGCCAGCAGAAAATAGAGCCACTGGTTTGGTGATAAGAACAAAGAGTGGCAAAGGGGCTCTTCAGTGCTGCACGACACAACCCACAACCACACAGCCTTTATTACAGAATGGAGAACCAAAAGGAGCTGACCCCATGGAAATAAGGGCAGTGAATCTGCTGACATCGGCTCCGAGGGAACAAGTGCAACATGCCAACCTCGTACCAGCACGGCTCCTGTGCTGCGTGACACAGCTTTGCACGTGTGTGTGAGGAGGTGTGCATATAGAAGTGCATGGCGGCAGCACAGTGAGCCACCTCTGCTGGGAATCTTTCTAAAGGGAAAGAACGTAACTCAGAGAGAATATCATCAGAAACGTTTATTTGTTGTTATTTGCAACCTGACACTAATGCTGCAGTGAGGAGGAAATTATTTCATACTTTCAACCCACTGGCAAAACACAGAAACACATTAAATATTTGTCAGTGTTAAAAGTCAGAGAACGAATCCGTAGATGTGCTGTGGGAAGAAGTTTAAATCTTTCTGCTGACATTTTTGTTTGGCTTTGGTGGGATTTTTTTTTGTTAAAGATGAATAAATTAGTTCTTTTAAAATTGCATTTGACTTTATGTGTGCTGCTGTGTGCTTTCTGTTTCATTTTCGTATTTCCATTTTGATATTTGGTACAAACCAAAGACTGCTTTGCCTCTTAAAATGGGTGAGAATTAAGTCACATCAGATGTGCCTTGAAGTGAAATGGAATCTTTCCTCTCCTTTCAAAAGAAGCAAAGTCACCTTCAAACTCCAGAACCCTACAAGTGGGAAAGCAAATCTAGTTCCTAAAGTTTATGTTTATTAAGCTATCATAAAATCGATCCTATGCTGTCAGTTTGAGGTCTACAGAAAGTCAGAGATGGCATTTGATAGACAGAGATCTGTAGTTTATAAATGAACAGACTACAAACGATAGTTTTTCAAGCCAGGTTAGAAAAATCAAAATACACCTGTTAAATGAAACCTACTGGGAGCAGGACAAAATTTGGAAGCACTCTTTGTTTCTTTCCACGCCGTATCAGCTGGTCACTGCTCTTCTCTCCCCTTCATTGTATCAATGTAGCTCAGAATGTCTAGCGTTCTTCCGTCAGCCAAAGCGAGGTACCGGGCTTCAGAGGAGAGCGCTGCCGTCCCCGCCGAGCTGCGTGCGGGCGGCAGTGCCTCATGCTCAGGCGTTTTGTGCCCTCCAGCGGTGCCGGGAGGATGCAGCCCCTGCGGGCTGCGGGCAGCGGGCAGGGAGCGCCCACAGCTGCACACCCGCATGGGGTCACACTGCGTGGCCGCATCCACTTTCCCTGCCTGCGGGCCAGAGCTCTCGGTCTGCACCCAAACATCGCACCTCGCGCTCTGCACGACTTGTGCTTTCTTATGGGTTTGGGGCACCAAGCTGCCCTCCCGTGGAGCGGCGCGCTCTTTCTTTCCCTCTCTGCTGTGAGCAATGCAGTGTTTCTGCTGAAGATGGCCGTCTCCCTGCATAGCCTGACTGCTGGCGGGCTGGGGAGGCACAGCTCCATTATGAGAAGCCCTGAGGGGCTCTGTGCTTTCAGAGGCTGAGATGAGGTTGACATTGTCTGTCTGGAGGTGCTGCTTGTCCACATATTTCTTCTTTCTGGCTGCATCTTCCTCTTCAGACTGTATGAACAGTGTGAATTGTGTGAATGCAACTGTTAAAACAGTTCAGTACTATGTACAAAGTTAATAATCGACTCGTAGATAAATTATGAAATCGATTGAAAGGCTAGAATTTTCTGCTGGCCTTTTGTGTTCTTTCTTGAGGGCTGCCTTTGTTGGAAAGAGGGTGGGTGAGGAGGGTCTTTGTTCTCATGCATTTATTCTTATTTATTCTTATGCTTTGGCCTTTGTGTGTGTGTGTGTGTGTTCAGTAATGGCTGAGAATGTACAGAGCGCCAAATCTTCCTCCCTTCATGTCAAGGAAGAGAGCAGAAACTTCCTTAACATCTTCCCATAACATGACACATTATTGTAATTCCACAAGGCTCAGAGTTATCAAGAGACCAGACCACAGGTCTGTTAAATTAGGGAAACGTACATCTAACCATCTATTGTAAACCCACTCAGGGCAGTGCTCACCACGTCAGGACTGGAGCTGAGGCAGCTTTCTGTCTGTCTTGGAGAGTAACTGGGAGACGGGCTGCTGAGTGGTGACTCCACATCTGAAAAATGAGCTCCAGCAGAAGGAAAAGTTACTCACTAACTATTTCCCAAATATCCAGCTCCCAATTATAGCATGCAAAATTGAGCGTGATCACTACTTCTGAAGCAGTTTTAAGATATCATTTAAAGAACAAAGTGTTAGCAAAGTCAAATTGGGTTATGGTAATACCCAGTTCTCCTCCTCTCAAGACAAATTATCACGACTGAATGTGTGAGATGGGTGTCCCAAAGCTCCAGCTGTGCTGTCAGCCTGCACTAGCAACAAAGCTGTGCTACCCAAGAGGTTCTGCAGGATAGAGGTAGGAAGAGAACATGGCAAAATGCCTGCACGTATTGGCTACCATACAAACTATATGGGCTTTAGGCTGTGTTTTGTCTGGGAGGCTCGTGGGAGATCTGTTCTGAGCTGCAGCTGGAACAGCTGACCCATACAGCTACGTACTGTTACAAGATGCCAGTGTTCATAAACTTGAGAAATGGTGTTCAGACAAACACACACCTGATCTCACTGGTGAATTATTATTTATTTGTTAGTTAGTTAGTTTGTTTGTTTGTTTGCAGCTCCCCCTACTTTCAGAGCTGGCTTAGCAGTTTAAGGGACCCAAATGAAAAACACGTGGATAATACTCACCAGACATAAGTTAATCTGAATTTATCTCTTCAAGGGAAAGTGAATACTTAGTTACCTGGTAATGCTAGTGAATAAAAATAGAAGTGCTCATAAAATGTAACATCCTAAAAAGTTGAACATACTTTTCCCTGGATTTAAAAGTAAGTTTCATTTTCGTAAGTAGAGAAAAATCTGATGTGTGCGTAATGGTATCCAAATGATACTAACCCTGCTCCATCCTGTGAGGGTTTGAACTCACTCCAGAGTTGTACTCTTCCCGCTGTGCTTTTGCAAACTTTCAAAAACAAGCATTAACAATGAGTGAGCTGGATCAGTGCCCCGGGTTAATTAAGTGAAGAACATTCAGTTTCTGTATTACACGAAGGAGTAACACCTTGAGTTCACTGCAAACTGTGTTAAGGAATACAAAACCCTGAGCAGTACAGCTGTGGGCAAAACATCTACAGAAGATTTTATGTATATACTGGCAGAAAACTTCATTACAATACTGAAATATCCTCCATACAGTCTTTGGACACTGCGTCAGAATCATAACGTGGGGTAAGGAGTACCTTGTAAGATGTATTTCAGGCATCAGCTTGGATGTGAATCAGACTATTATGGACCTAAAAGACTAAAAGACTGTTATCTGAACCATTTAACTAGAAATTGTTCTTTCTGGACTTTCCATATAAAGCAACAAAGACAAGGAGATTCCACAAACATAAATTCAGATAAAGTAATTTCAATTTCTAACTGTTCTGGATACTTCTTTTCTACTCTAAACGAATGATGTAAACACTCTGGTAGTAGGTAATGCAAAAATGTTTATAAAAAGTTACCTCTTCTAATTCAAAAAGCTGGTTCTGTTTCCAGACCGATTCTTTCGCAGGTTCATCTCTATGGGATGCAAACAGAGTTCTCTGGTAAGTGACTTCTCCCTTGCTTTTGTTTGCTTTCTAAATTACTTCTGACTTTTTTTTTTTTTTTTTGCCAGTGATCAGGAAATGTTTTCCCCTACTGAAATACTGGAATTTATTTCTGAACGTGAGATTTAGCAACAAGAATCTCTAAGTTTTGGTTTGTTTGTTTGTGTGTTCGTAGAATGTAGCATGAGGTGACTGTGGATATGTGACAAAAGCACCTCAGTGCAAAACGTGGGGCACTCACATATGCCACATGTGCCACATTTGGTGCAGGGAAGACACTGATGTTCTGTGTGGGCAATGGAAGTGGACAGGGTGTTTTAGAGGTCAGATCAGAGCGACAACTCACCTGCAGGGACTCAGATCTGTTCTATCACAGAATCTTCCTATGTAGTTATTCCAAGCAGGTGTACAATGGTACAACAAATAGCTTACATGCACATAAGTTTATTCACATTAGTCATGATTATTTTCACTGGGATAACTTGGATCTTCATTAACACTGTTTAGAATTTTTGCCACCTTGTCCTCTTAGACAGGATTTCTCCAGTTCAGGAAGGTCTCTGCAGCTATCACTAATTAATAGATTGACAATTTTTATTGCACTCACCTTTTATTTCTTGAATGGTTCTGCATGTTCTCCTTTAAATTAATCTGCTGATCACGATAATAACCATATGTTTCTAAAATCAAAAAGTAAACCTCAATTTAAAAGTGCAAAAGCATAAATATGGCTTGAAAATAACTCCTTCTATCAACTTGTAAAAGTAACTTCACTAACTGGATTTAAAATTGCATTGCTGCAATGCAAAGATTGATAACACGTTTTGGGTCAGGGCAAACACACATCTGTTTATTAAAAAAAAGTAGCATGAGACGACTGAAAGGAGAATGAAACACAGAATGTCCATCCTGAACTTGCTGACACTCACCACTTTTTTCAGATGTTGAAGGTTTCTCTTTGCTCCCAGGCGACATTAAGTACAGCTGTCCATCATGACAGCCCTGAAGGTGGCTTTTATGAAGGCTGTTTCTCTTGTAGTTTGCAAATGGTGCGCTGTTGTTTTCACGTAAAACCTGTTCTGGAGCTGTGAGAAGCCCTTTACGGTGTCTGTCTACGGAATTTTTTCTTGCATGAATTGCAGGATGAGCCTCTCCACTATTGTATGTGCAGTTTCTGTTGGTCATTTGATTTCTATCACCGGGATCAATGAGAAAAACGGGAGCAGTGTTTTGGTTAACAAAAGGATGACAATGCTTTGTGGAAGCTTTATTATAGATTGGTTGGCTCTCATCTCCAAACACGGCCAGAAAAGGACAATCAGTTTCATCTTGAGGAACTCTCAGGTCTGCAGTTTCTTTCATGACACCAAACAATAGTTCTTTTATTCCTTCTGTGCTTTCTGATTCTTCACTGGCCATTATCACTGGGTCTTTCCTGGCAGAATTCATATAGTCTAGCCTTTGGAGGAGGGGAGAAAAAAAATATAACTTGCTTTGTATACAAATAAGCAAAATCCTAACTGCTAACTTTACAGATTATCAAATTGATACAAAATTTCAAAGACTTCACTGCTCAACACACTTGCTTCTGCTCTGAATGCATGTTACTGCCACAGAATGAGTGTCCTGTGTTTTATTTACACGTGTAGTAAGGCTGATTTAAGCAGGGCTCTTTCACTGCATCTCCAAACGCACAGAGACACTCAGCATGTCATCACATTCAGTAGGGAACTGTGATTTATAAAACCAACCACAGTATGTCACTGCTGCTCCACTCAAATGACCAAACACTGTGGATTAAGAGTAAAAAGAAGAGGATGACAGCTTGACAGCTTCTTTGATCTGTCAAAAGGTATCGAACAGTCCGCTCCCGTGCTGAAAGCCCGCAGTAAGACCCATGCATTGTTTCACTCCTGGTCTCTTTAGCAGTGACTTCTTGTGTAGCATTGCTCAGTAACCCTATTTAAGCACAGAACTTTTCTGATCTAGTGTTAGAAGACCATTTAGACATTTTGTTTTGCTCATACTTTCCTCCCCTTCTTCTCATAGCAGTGTTTTTGAAGATGCTATCATGCTTATCATTAGCATGAAAGCTGTCCTGCACTCACTTGAATCTTACTCTAGCTTTTTTTTACCACTTCTTTCTAAGCTTGATCTCTTGAGTGACCTTTCTGAAGATCTGAGCAGAGAGTTAAGAGTTTTCTGGGACACAGAGAATACAAAACATGCCTTTTATTTTAAAATAAATAAATTAATTAAAAGAGCAGTGCTATCAATGGAACTTGAAAATGGAAAAGTACCAGAGTAAAAACTTAGTGAAGAAAAATTCTGTAATGTCTTGACCAGAAAACGCTTGGAATTGGAAAAAGATCCTAGAGAACTTAAGGGAGAAAGTGGTGCCCTCTACTTATGTAAAACCCATGCCTTAGTTTTAAAAGAATAATCACACTGGAGTTTGTTTTGGGAGAAACCTGGATGCAGTCAAGTGAGGAAGGTAAAAACATTTTGTGGTGCAAAACAGAGGCGCCTTCTCCATTCTTGCTGAACATTTTGTAATGCTATGTAAAAGGTAATTGAAGATGAGGAAATGGACAGGTATGACACAGAGGGAAAAATAGAGGATATCTACATTTTTAGTCAACATTTAATGACCATGAAGGGTCACAGGTCGGTGCACAGTTCTTACATCATTACGTTTTCATTAAATGATTGTATAAGTTCATGCTTCTCGTATACATCAAAAGAAACTCCCTCTCTAGGAGAGCTGACAGGTATTGAGATAAAAGAATTAATGAGTGTAATGGATGACAACAAAACATGGACAAAACACAAAAATGGATCAGACGAATTGTTGGAAAAGGAGATGGAATGTTGTCAGTGAGTCGTGAATGGGCAGAGGCTGTGGGAGGTGTCATAAGCAGAGAGCAAGCCTGAGAGTCTGTGGAGAAATTAGAAGGGAGATGTAGGCAATGTAAGGTTACATGGGGCTTTAACATCGAGATATTCATCAGGAAGTTACCAAGATATATGGCAAGGTGAATGCTATCCTGATTTTGGGCTCTGCTGGAGAAACTGTGAAATCCATGAGGAGAGAGAATGTTCAGGTGGCTAAGAGTGGAAGCTCATATGTCCATCTTGTATCACATCATCAGTAGCTAATCAGTGCCTTGGTGCCCCAGGTAAACAAGCTGCTGGACCCAGGAACTGCCAAGTAATATATGACCTTTTTTGGCTCTACCTCATCTACATCTAGAGATTGATGCAACCTTGAGCAGACTTACAGAATAAAAAGAAAAATGGAAAATAAGACCCCTAGATAGGTGGTAAGAACTCCTGGAAACAAACAGAACAAATTTGTCTGGCCTTAAATCCTCCGTGACTGAAAAAACTCGTGATCAGCACATGCAAGAGAAATCAATTCAAAGCTTCTGTCCATTCTCTTGTTGTCTGTCCATACCTTTCTGTTCTTATAAAAGTGTTTTTAATCAATTATAAAATAATGATGATTTTTAAAAAGCTACAGCAGAATTGCACATGAAATAGGAGAGTAAATACTTTTTCCCTGGAATCCTCAATGTAAGTAATGTAAGTGAAGTGCTGAGGCATCGGGGTCATCACTTGTTACAAAGAGCAGAACTAATGAGAGTGCCAGCAGCTGCCCTTCTCTTAGCCAATCCCCTTGCTAAATCCATGCTTCTGGATGAATTACAAAATACCATCCTGTTTACAACACCACAAAAGTAGACCATGGTTCCAAAAGCCTACCAAAATCGCATTTTACTGTCTTTCAGCAAATTTTAATAGCTTTGCTTGTTCAGTCTCTCTATTTGATATCAATTCCTATTCATGAGCACTAGAAATCAGTGAAAAATCACGTGGAAATAAATTTCAGATGATTTTAGTATTCCTCTAACTTAATGGTCACTATTTCTCTAATGTAAAATCAGGAAGGCAGCCTACCTGTGCGATGGCGTAAGTAGATCCTGAGGCTCTGTGTCAGACTTCCTGAAAATACACTGGCCTGAGTGATTTGAAATCCATGGGTCTTGCTCAGAAATAGTTCTTGACTGAGAAAATGGTCCAAGTTATAAAACTCTGAATCTATAGTTGCAGTGTTTTAAAATTCAAAACTGGGTTTGCAAACAATATACATATTTTCTATCTTAGTTTCTTTTACTTATTTTCCCTCAATTTTATCTTTCCAGTAAAGGCCAAGACATTACCGCCCAAGCGAGTTCTGTACAATTCATACTTCTTTGTATTTGCATGTCACTGCTAACATGCAAAACACCTTTTTAAGTATCCCACGCCCCCATCATTTCAGCAAGCTGGATAGACTGTAGCAAGCTGATGCTTCACTGCAGAAGACAAAACCGTAGAATGCTATTGTATGGAAAGGCTCTGAGAGGAAACTAACCCACCCTCCTGCTCAAGGCAAGGCCAGCTTCAGTCCAGATTGCTCAGATCTGTTCAGGACTGAGACGACCGATTTTGGTGCTCAGCTACTTTTGTGACAACTTTTTCTACGCAAGCAGAATTTCCAGTGTTTAAACTTGTGATTTTTACTACTTGTCATTACATGGGGAATCTCTGGCTCTGTGCTGCCTGGATTCTGGAAGACAGCAACGAGTTCCCCTCCTCATTCTCTTTAAACCTTCTCTTACCCATGCTATGCAAACCCTCTTCATTCAGTCTCCATGTTCATCAGGAGCTCCAATCCCCTTGACATTTTTGTGGCCCTCCATTAGTCTTCCTCCACTTTGTTGATCTCTCTTTTGGACTGGGGGGGACTCAAAGTGGGCACAGTATTTCAGATGTGTTCTAACACTTTTTGTTTGTTTGGTTGGTTGTTTTTTTGCGGGGAATAATCACTCGCCTTTGAGTGCTGGATAAACTCTCTCTAACACAGCCCTGTATTTAGCTGGCCTTTCCTGCAACATGGATGCACTGCTGACTCATGTACAACTTGTTATCCTCTGGCACCCTCAGGTCCTTCCCTGCAAAGCTGCTGCCTACTCAGTCAAATCCCCACCTGCACAGATACGTGGGGTAATTTCTTCTGAGGTGCAAGACGTGCATTTCTCTGTGTTGAACTTTATGAGGTTCCTGTCAGCCTTCAGATTCACAAGATGCCTCTGAATAGCAGCCCTGCTACTGTAATGACCACTCTGACAATTTTTGGTTTCATTTATGAACCTGTTGTGATGTTGTGGGTGCAATCTGTCTTGTTGTCCAAATCATGTATCTGATAAGATGTATCAGACTTGATACCAAACCCTGGGCATCCTACCATTATTGACCAGTTGCCAATTAGACTTTAGCCCATGGACTTTCAGCAAAATGGTACAGCTGATTTTTTTACCCAATTTGTCACCCACTCATCTGGTTCATACCACCCCACTTTGGCTACTAAGATACCACAATAAACCTTGTCAAAAGCCTTCCTAAGGTCATAGTAAATAATACCCACTGCTGTTCCTTATCCACAGGGCAAGTCGTTTCATCACAGAATTAAGGTCAGGCATAGCATAGCATGGCCATGGTAAACCTATGCTGACTTCTCTCAAACACTTTCTTGTTCTTCACAGAACTTTAAACAGCATCCAGGAGGTGAGGTTCCATAATCTTTTCAGGACAGAGATGAGGCTGATAAACTAGTACTTTCCTGGTTTTTGCATATACATAACATTTGTTTATTTCTTGTCACTGAGAAGCTGTCCTCACCACTGTAATCTTTGTGCAGATACCAACAGTACTGAAAGCTCAGTGAACAAAGGCTCAATTAAATCTATTCCAGACAGTAAAAGAAATACATATGTATTTATGGAATATTCATTGCCATCAGCCTAGAAGTTTTTCTTGTTAATCATTATCTTCACCATAATGCTAATTTTATGCCTCAAATAGAGAAAGTAATAAAATATTAATCAAACCTGTTTCATTAGCTTATCTTCATAAGTCTGCTCCCAAGGGTCACCCATTAGTTTTGTACTGAAATTTTCTTCTGAAAACTGTGCACAGTTAGAGGACCAAAAAATAGAAGGGGACAATGGACAGGTGCTAAAAGTTGTTGCTGTGTTGTCTTCACGTTCCGTACATTCAGCGTAAGTAAGTTCTGTTACTTGTGTCAACTAGATAAGAGATGGCAAAGAGATTTGATTTATCTAACATTGTTATCATCTAAGCATAGTTGAAAAGGATCCAACCTTTCTAAACTTTTTACATCTCTTTTCAGATATACCATGTTCAAGAAAAAATGTTCATATATTCTGATATGTTGGCCTTAGTCCCTTTCCCATAATCTGTCCTTTGTGACTAGTTCAGAGCACAGGTATTTCTAAATGTTTTGGAGAACGCCCAAAACAAGTGGAGCTTTTCATAATACTTGTAAGAAATAGCAGAAAAAAAAGTATGAAATATGATTGGCAATTAACACATCAATGTAGTCTTAAAGAATAAGCCTTTTCACATGTAAGTACTCATTAAATCTGATCATTATGAACAACCACTTAAAAAAAACATTGCTACATATTTTTAACTTGACATCACTGAGACCAATAAACTTACTTGATGTTGGTATTTTTCTTTTTCTAAGAGATGCTGCCTTCTGCTGTCCAGTACTTGCTCTTGTAACCTTGTAAAATGAATAAAAACAGCCTCTGAAATGTAAGATCTGTAAGATTGAAAACTTCCTAACCAGAGTATTAATTTCAAATTAATTTAACAGTATTTCTCCAGATGTTTAAAAAACCCTTGATTTGTATGCAATTTTGAGCAGCCAGTCTGTAAGTCAGTCACTTAAGCATGCCTGAAATTGGATGGCAAACAATGTAAGTAGAAAATGCTGTTTGAATAGTCTGCTCTGTGATAGGAACTCAGTGTACGAACAACATGACATGAATAAAGTAATACATCTGTATATTTAAAGCTCTGAACTTTGTGTACAGCTCTGAGTTTAGAGTATGTTTCCTTACTCTGATGATTAGAGTATCCCTGGAATGTCAGAAGCAGTCATGAAAACAGTGTCTTACCAATGGATATTTAGGCATACTTAATACCCCAGATAAATATTTGTTCAGTCTTTTCTAGGCAAGACACTCATGAGTACAGAAGTAAAAGGGATCCGCTGATCTAAAGATCAAGAGACCAACCAGTTTCAGATTAGTCTTTCTATGCTCCTGTGCTACTGTATTAGCATAGACCCCCTTCTCCCAGTTATCTTGTTGCCACCAAAGTACGTGCTTTCATCCATGTTAATAAATACACACAAGGTAGATCTGTATTGCAATGGTAACTCCTTTTAACTTCTTTAGAAATCAAATGAAAATAAATTGTGAAACACCTTTCACAGAACTTTATGATCGTTAATTACAGCCCGTTTTAAACAAGTACCTGTTCTTGATGTCATCTAAGTGTGCTGTAAATTGGTTTCGTAATGGTGACCTGGGAAGCTCTAGGTTGTTCCTTCTAAAAGGTGCCTTTACATTTTCAGTTATATCAACATGGACTGGCTTTTTCAGGTTGCCTGTGGTGAAAGTATTTGGAAGGTCAGCACTGGACGTAGAGACTAAGCTTTGAGCTCCCTAATTTTTTCATTACAGTACCAAAGAAGTTGTTTCGGGTTTCTCAAACTGCTTTATCCATTTAAAACTTCTGTTTTGTTTTCTTACCAGTAATGTAAGAGCTCTATTCTAATGGGCACCATAGCACAAAACTGTGGGGCAACTGCTGTCTGTGGACAGGCTGTGTTGCCCTAATCAGCCACCTTCAAATCTTTCTGAGCACAGGACAGCAACTGCGCCCCAGTCCTGTTGTAAAGATGTCACAGAAGATAAGAGTTAGAACTCAAGTTGTAGAGATTTTGAGTGGAGCTTAATGACAGATTATAACAAAGATACTGTGGGTAGAACAAACCTTCTATTCCAAATACCAAAAAAAAAAGAAAGAAAAAGAAGTTACTGTACTATAAGCGGAACACAAATGGTCCGATTTAATGGCAAAGGGAAAAAGAAGTGAAGGTAGGGTAAAATTAAAACATGGCATGAGGGAAATTCATAAGTGTGCAAGGCTATAAAGCTGAAATAGGTCACTTGATTTTTCTTATGTCCTCACTTTTTATTCAGTCATTACTGTCGTATTTAATCGCTATTTTCTATTTTTTAAATAAATGACTATTTAAGCATTAAGTTTCAACACAATGGAAAAAGAAATAACAGCAGTGATAATAAAAGATAAGTGATTCTGTTAGCAATGAGGTCAGAGTGCTGTTACCACAAACTCACCAGTGCTGTCTTTTTTGGTCGATATCTGGTTAACAACATACAGATTGAGGAGATCTAAGCTGACTGCTGAACTTTTAGGAGACGATACTCCCAGAAGCTTCATCTTTGATTTGAGTTTTTTCTTCTCAAAGAATTCCTGTTTTTTTAAAAGAGAGATTAAAAGAGAGAATAAGTTTCTGACAGAAGCTTTGTACCACTTCAGTGGAATATATAAATATTTTGATGCAGTTCTTATAAATAAAAACACGTTTAAATTTTTCCAAATTCACACAATCAGTCTATTATAACTTGATTTTTTTTTTTTATTATTTTGAAAAGTAATTCTAGTATAATTTGGTCATATTTAAGGAGAATCCATTGCAGCCTTCCAGAACTTAAATGGAGCTTGTGAACTATAGGGAGACTGACTTTTTACATGATCTGATAATGACAGAACAAGGGAAAATGGTTTTAAACTAGAATAGGGGAGATTTAGATTAGATATTACAAGGTATTTTTTCCTTTTGGAGTAGCAAAGCACTCATACAAGCTGCCCAGAGAAGCTGTGGATGCTCCATCCCTGAAGGTGTAAAGGCTGGGTTGGATGGGGCTCCGAGTCTTGATGGGGCCTTAATCTGGTGAGTGACAACCCTGCCCATGGCAGGGGGTTGGACCTGGATGGGCTTTAAGGTCTGTTCCAACCCCAATCATTCTCTGATTCTCTGATTCTGTGATATTCAAAATAGGTTATTTTTCTCTTGATGCCAAAAACTTAGTCCTTATATACTTGCATCTCAACTTCTGTATGTGATCATTAAAAGCATTTTTCAAAGTAAAAGACATCTCAAAATCCTGCAAGGAAAAGAAGTCTTTAAAAAAAATTAAACCCGTGCTTTTTAGGCAGCTTATAGTAACCAGCAGGCAAATAAATCAGCAAGATTATTAGTCATTGCCATCTAAATTGACACAAAGGGTGTCTTGTTCTTCAAACTTCTCTTGCTTGATGCAATAAATAGGGTCTTGTGACCAAAAAAAAAAAAAAAAAAAAAAAAAAAAAGAAAGACAGAGACAAAAGGGAAAGAAGAAAAACCTCTATGACTGGGACTTTGGAAATGCTTCATGTTGCAAGGAACAAGAAGAAATATGACTGTAATTCTAAATATATCAAGAAGAAAATTCTGTGTAACACTGGAATTCTATTTGTAGACATTAAGTAAAGAAAATCTCCATTTTGTAGGAGTATTAATAATCATCTCAAAAATCTTTAGTAGCAAGCCCCAAAAATGAATAAATTAATGTTACATCTTCACTTTAAACAGAAGAGGGATATTAAAAACTGAAGACCCTAAGACAAAAAAAGGACAGGCTTTTCTTCTGAACTTCTCCTTCTGTCATCCTGAATTACATGACAAGGGATTTTCTTGTAGATTACGTGTGATTAATATACCCAACATGTTTTTGGTAACTTTTTTCCATGTATTGTATTACAGTCTTTAACTTTCCAATCTGTTAGCATCTACTGAAAACAGCTGCTGCTTCAGCAATCAAAATGTAGTACCAGAAGCAATTCAGTAAAACTTGAATTGGGAGCATTCATTTGTTCATTCATGCCTTCTCCTCCTCCCTCCTCTTGCTGCTGGAATTCAGTGTAGTCAACCTAGAAAAAGACTTCTGTTCTAAAAGTTAAGTACAGTCAGGCAAACACATAAGTGTTACGCTACAGTTCTGTGCCTCACTCCTATTGCTTTGAAAGATTTTTCACAGTGAAACAACACAATCAATTGCATAACATAAAATCCATGGTGGCTAGAACCATTTACCTTTTGCTTTCTCCTTTCCTGCTTTAGTATGACTCTGCTCCTGAAAGATGCAAATAATTATTGTTTTAATTATAAAGGTACAACCTTGAGTCGTGGACTGAGCTTTACATAAATGTTACTGAGAATTTTGCAAGCAAATTCAGCTATAATGGGTCAAACCTTGAGGTAGCAAACTCAACATAACTCTGATGAAGTCACTTTGCCTGGTCCTGGTTTACTTAAGTAAGGCTATGTCCCATTCTATCTCAGGGATATAAAACATATTGAACATTCAGAAGGAAAAACTTGCAGGTATTTAACTTGCAATGAAACAATTCATCAAATCTTCACTTCTTTTAAAACACAGCAAGAAATCTCTGTCAATATTTATTCTAATTTTCAATTTCATGCTGCAACACAGTTACAAAACCACATTAACAAAGAAAGCAAAAGAGCACATCGCATCTTTCTGCCTTTCAGCACATTATGGCATATTGTGAACATTAGGAAAAAAAATAAGAGAGATTAAAGAGGTTGTCAGTACAACTTGTATTAAGCTGCTGTTGTTTGCGCTATATAGCAAACAGCCATACCTTAACTACTTGCTAAACATAGTTTTAAATCAATTGGTTGCAGGACACCATGCTTAAAATAGGAGTTCTGGGTCACTGTTGTGAACACATTGAATATGGGTGCAATGTTTGGGTCAAGTAAGAGTTGCATATTTATGTAATGGTTAAAAATATGGAATAGATCCTTGGAATTACCTTTTTTTTTTCTTTTTTTTAATACTATCTCCAAATTTATAGCACTCAGAATGGAATATCCTGAGTTGGAAAGGACCCACGCTCTTTCTGAACACATGCATATAAATTTACATATAATTACACAAATAAAGTACATAAATATAAATTATATGTGTATATATGATGTATACCACATAGTTCTGTGCTCTGCATGTGTTGCCAGAGCAGCCGTGACACCATAGAGATGTTTTGGCTATCACTGAGCAGTGCTGGCACCACATCAGAGCTGGCTCCAACCAGGTGGGTGAGAGATGGGTTGGGAACACAGCCACAGGATCTTACCCAAATCTACCAAAGGGTTATTCCATACCTTATGATGTCAATAAAACACAAGAGAAAGATTGTGGGGGTGTAGGCAGGGGTGTACATTTGTACAAAGGCAAATCTTCCAAAGCAACTGCTGCTCGTGCTGAGGCCTTACTTCCCAGCAAGTGGCTAGACATTGTCCATGGATAGGGAGTAGAGAATAGTTGTTTTTTTTTCCCTTTGCTTTCACATGCACTTTCCTTTTCTTTTAAAAGAAATGCTGTTATCTCAAGCCACAAGGTTTTCCTTTCACATTTTCTCCCTGTGGCAGCGTGACACAGGTAGGCACCTGACAAGCAGCCCAGGTCAACCCTCTGCAGCAGCTTTCAGAAACTCCATTTATCTGGAGAGCCTCACAGATACGTAAGGCTTTATTTTAGTTGGATTCTGCACATACTGTCAGGATGAGTATAAAACCGTGCTTACCAAAGCCACTTTCAAATGCTGACAAAAAGAGTAGGGGTTAAAATTCTGACTGGTAAGAGGTACAGGACCCAAAGAAACTGAATATTATGCTGGATTTTTTTTAATGTTATCAACCCATAGGTGATTTTTTAAAATATTTCAGTGAATCTTAGATATGCACAGTCTGTGAGGGGACACAGGGGTGCCACACGCCGTGGCCCTGCGGGTCTCTGAGGGGACGCCAGGCCACGCCGTGGCCCTGCGGGTCTCTGAGGGGACACGAGGCCTGAAACACAGAGCTGTGCTGCTTGGCATGGAGCCATTTCTGGTGGCCCTGAAGAGTTTCACTCACCGGCTGCCACCCACCCAGTTCATTTTCTGCTGCTGAGGAAGCAGGGAGGGCTGTCCCTGGCAGTGCTGGGGAGGAGGAGAGCTGGCGACAGCCACGAGGACGGGGAGCTGCCCCGGTGGGTGCGCAGCCCTGGGCAGGGCTCTCCTGTGGGGCCTGCTCCTAACCAGCAGCACCAGGGCTGCTGATCTCCATGCTCCCAATGCTAACAGAGAAGAGGGGTAGTGTGACACAGAGACAGAGAGCAGGAGAACAAGGAGAGCAAAGGGCTGATGTGCAGTAGGCAACCGTCTGGCTGATGCCACCCTTCTTCTGCCACTGCCAGTCCCTTAGAGTCTGCTGACACAATCCATTTCCCCTTTGCCAAGGAATCACAAGCCTTTTTGCTGTCCCGTGTGCATGAAATGCACAGCTGTTGGAGTGGGTTACAGAGCAGCTGACATTCAGCCTGTCAGGCTCAGCCTGTAGTGCCACTGCTGCAACTGGCACAGTTCGTAGGGCAAGAGATAAATGCTGCTCTTCCCCAGGCATGCTGGGGAATCAATGAGCATTTGTTGCTAGCAGGCACCCTCATTCTTGGAAATGTCTGACAAGATTTTGGAGATAAATAATGGCACACCCTCACAAAAGGGTGGGAGGTCCCAAGACTGAATGAGGAACAACACAGCTCCCCTCACTCTTGTGCCTGCAACTCGCTGCCACTTAGAAAACCACCAGTACAATTTTATATATAAATTTCCCATGGTGTTACTGCACTGAATAATCTTAACTTTTCAAGGTACCTGTTGGATAGCTGTTGGTACAACAGTGAGCAGAGTGCTCAGAGTAGATGTTAGAAGACTAATATTAAAAATTAGCCAAGCATTTTCTTTAATTTTTATGGTGTTTTTATAGAATCCATGGCTAGAAGATTGGAAAAGTGAAAATGCCTGCTTCTTTAAAATAACCAGTTAAATTGAACAAAGTTGTTGGACAGAATGTGTTATTGTTGCGATAGCTCAGATATTTCTGATCAATAAGCCTTGTTGTTTATTGTAGCACCATTAGATTATAAATATTTATACTTTACATGGAAGATTTTGAAGAGTTTGTGCACAACTCATCAGCAACTATGACAGATCACAATGAAAGACTAAACTCATTTGATCAGTTTCTATTACGTTTGTATTTCCACCCTGTGTAAATGTTTGACATGTTAATATTATGTCTAACAATGTCTTTTTTTCCCCTAACACAGTATTGGTATTACTCTTACACTTACACTTTCACATCATTATCTGGATCTAAAGGAAAAAACTACACTTTTATTTCTGCTTGATTTACTGAATCCAGTAGGTAACAGTACTTTGTAGAATCAAAGAAAAGTGATGTGGCAGATTCAAACAATTCCTTTTAATGTAAGAAATCTTTCCCTCCCTGAATTCATCTCTCCAGATAAAGCCAAAGCACCCTTTCAAATGGTCATAAAATTTAAAAATATTTCTTCTTCTGT